GAAGCGTTCGTTTCGTTGTTCTCTAAAGCACCGCAAGCAGTCCCACAGTGACTAGTAATATATACATATGTATACATGGGACTGGGGTGTTCATCCGATCTCTCTGGTGAGGGCATATAATTGTCCCGGAAGTGCCTTGAGGCTCCTACTTGAGTGATATCAGGCTGTCGCTTAGCGACCTCAGATATACGATGGAGTGGGTCCGACAAAGACAAGGGAGACTGGAATGGCCATTTCTGGCTTGTAAGCCGTCATCAGCCAGTCATAGTTCGGAAGCCTAGTGGATCGGTGTTCGGACATTTCTCAGTGATTATGTACCCGGTCTGCAGTGACAGCAAATGGCAGGTGGTTTGGGGGTAACTTAATACAGAACCATTTAGGGCTCATTTGCCTTCATTCAGCCAAGCATAACCCTGACCACCAGCTGCCTCGGACAAAACAAATATACGCACTCGCAGAGGGCGCGGGTGGTCCACCACTGGGATCTACCAGATGGGTCGTAAGCACTTCATCGAACCGCATCACAAACCAGGGCGGGTGTGCCCTGTATCTGATCGGTTTACGCCTATCTACCAATGTATAGTCCCGATCAACAACCATCAAGACGTCGAGCACGACGGCTCGTTGGTTAGAGCGTTCGCCTCTGACCGAAGAGACGTTGGTTCGAAAATCGAGAGTGGCGGCAACTTCCGCTATTACACTTGAGTAGAGTATATCCAACTGACGACGCCTAATGATGCAGAAATGGCCATTCTGGTTTCTCTGCCTAACGGTAATGCGTCCTACAAAAAATATATAGTGGGACCGAAGAATACAAGAGAGACCGGAATTTCTACTTCTGGCTTATTAAAAGTCAACAGCCAGTCATACCCAGTCTCAAATGTGGATTATGCGTGCTTCGAATCCCCGGCCTTGTTAGTTAGAAGTCCAGCGCTGCGCCACAGGCTAGTTTCCTCGCCGATTTCGATAAGAAATATATACACTGGCAGTAGGCGATCACCGATCGGATACAGGACTCACTGTCGAGCCATGCCGCAAGGCGGCTATTATTGAAGGCAAAATGACATTGCCGACAAAGACAAGAAAGACTGGAATGGACATTTCTGGCTTATTAGCCTTCATCAGCCAGTCATACCCAATCT